ATCCAGAGTCAGAATTAGCCAAACTAGAGGTGCAGAATTCTCGCAACAAGCCAACAAACTAGAGCGCCGATGTCGCCATCTTAGAGGTGCAGAATTCTGACTCGAAGAAACTGACGCCGACGCCCTAGAGATGCAGAATTTTTGCTGCAAACGTGCGTGCCCTAGAGGTGCAGAATTCTGACGCTAACAAACTGATGCCGACACATAGAGGTGCAGAATTGTTGCCGCCGAGGTGCGTGCCCTAGAGGTGCAGAATTCTGACGCCAACAAGCTGACGCCAATGCCGATCCAATAGAGTGCAGAATTTTTGCCGCCGAGGTGCTGCCCTAGAGGTGCAGAATTCTGACGCCAACAAACTGATGTCAACGCTGATATAGAGGTGCAGAATTTTTGCTGCCGAGGTGCGTGCCCCAGAGGTGCAGAATTTTGATGCCAACAAACTGACGCGGATGCCGACACTATAGAGATATAAATATCATAATTGTGATTTTTATTTTGTTTCACTTACTTGAGACTATTATTAATTCTTTTTTTCTTTTCTCGCAGAGATTTGCACTCTGGAAATTGAAGGAGAAATTATCATGGATGTAATGGCTTTTCCACCTCTACCTAGCTAGCTAGTTCAGAAACTAATTCTTCCAAGGTATTACCATGGAAAGATAACCATTTTATTTGAGGGAGGAGAAGGGCGATCTGGAGAGAGCTCTGGAGAAGTACAGGGAGTGCCGGTCGATACGAAAAAGTTGGTTCGACAGGGATCACCCAGACGTATTGAAAGTCAAAAAGAAGACATAGCTCGAGTGAAGAAGACACAGGAGACTGCGCAGCAAAAGGGACACACGACAAGAAGGCAAAGGCGAAAGAAGTCACATCATTAGCAGAAATAATCCCTCATTCTATTCCCAAGTTTCCTTTGTCCACTACTCCCCTCTGTCTATTCCCCATTAGATGGGATTTTCGTACTTTGGTCCACCATCGTTGCCAGGTACCGTAGATAGAAAGCTCCGCAGATTAGCATGAACGCTTCATCCACCGGTACGCCACAGGAACTACATGTAGGAGCGGCAAGGAGAACCAAACATTCCAGCAACGCGTTTGCACCTTTGACATAACTGTTAACGGCAAGCCTGGAAAACGTTAGTATGTGATTGCCTTGATTATTGTTGTGTTGCGATTGGATGTGCACTTGGCCACTCCCTTCAACTGTACATGGCCAGGGCTAGCCTGACATAGAACATGAGTCTCTGTGACATTCATCAGCGAGACGCCTTCAACTCTTGCCAGCGGTCGTGTCAACAATTTCCCTTCGCTTACATTCCAGAGCACAACATTGTTGACTTGAACTGTGCCCAGACGGCAGGTGTTTTCCCGAAACTTGACTTCTCGTGGGATGCCAACAGTTGCCAAAGTGTTGTTGGGTGACGAGAGGTCGAGTCGATAGAAGCAATGTTTGCCCCCCTTGTCTTTTCTCTTTCTTATGGATACATGGATAATAGCATCGTTTCCGTCATTCGAGACCGGAACTGTTGCCTTCAGCCTGGTGAGGTTTCGGCTGTCATTAGGCATCACATGAAAGGTTCGCCATCCAGGACTTGTAGGCGCAATTCCAGCAACATATTCCGACAGGAGCGTCAAAGGGCCACCAGCCCAAGCGTGGTTGTAACTACCAGAATTCAAATCCCATTGCTCCCACAGCGTGGTTATATTGGGAGCCATCACCATGGCTTGATATCGATGCTTCATCCGCTGCAGGGCTTCATCGGCGTGTTTCATTTTGAACAGACTTTCCAAAACGTACTTTTCCATGTATGGGGATGCCCAAAACCGTTGCGTCATTAGAACCTTGACAATTTGGGGGAATCTTCGTGTTGGCACTAGGCCGGCCAGCACAGCAAGCGCATTGCTCCGATCATCTGGGGGTTGCTGTCGTTGCTGTGCCGATTGATACCATCACCGGTCCAAAATGCACCATCAAAGTTTTGCTGGATCTTCTTTAGTTGCGCTTGCCAATGGCCGACATCTTGTTGTTCAAACCCCGCCACACGAGCCATGGGAATGGCCGCACGAAGGGCCAACACGTACCAGGCATTGTCCAAAATGGGCACATCCGCGTTTTGCCCCCAATCCCCCCAGTCCCAGTCTCCATGTCGATGATTGATCAACCCTGTCGTAGCATTCATGGACCAACAGGTGCGAAGATAACTCCGAACGTGTGGATACGCATCCTTGACTGTTTCACTGTCCCCTGTATACCAATAGTACGTGTATATCCCGTACCATCCAATACTGGCCAGCATTTGGAGCGGCAATTCTCTTGGATAGTTTCCTTCGGGTACGGGCGCATGCAGTTTGTCACACTTTTGTTGCTTGTCTTGCTGTTGCCAATGGACCAGATCCGAAATGGCTTTTCGCGCCAGTGCCTTGGCACGATTGCCGAGGGCATACATGGCCTGTCCAATCTCGAGCGTCACATCTCCCCACCATTGTGCTCGTTCCCGATCGGGACAATCCATAAAGTTGTCTCTCATGTTCACCAACAGAGTTCGTTGTGCCTTTGCCCAAAGTGTGTTGAGAAACTCGTCATTGGAATGAAACCGTCCCGTCAGAGACGCATCGTACCGAGTCTCTCGATACATGACACGAGGCACTTGTATTGAAGCGGTGGGTGTTGTTGTACCGGTATAGTAGTGGATGCGATACGTTACCACGTGTCCATTGATCCATGACGGAGATTCAAACGATTGCGATTCACTGGATGTCGCGTGAGTGAGAAAGGTAGCCCGGAGATAGATTGGATCACTACTCTGTTTGTGCTTGTTGGGTTTGTGATATTGGTAATTGTCGGTTTGAATGTCCACGCGAATGGATGTGTTGTTGCTGTCTTTGGAATGAAGCGGTGGTAACAGGATCCAAGGATAGAACTGGGTATTGTACCAAAGCCGGGCATGGAGGATGATTGTACCATTGGGAAACGTTTCTACCTGGACACTGGCATAGTCTTGGAGTGGGAAATCTTTCCATTGTGGTATCCGGCGTGGCCACAATTGATTCCATGGCTTGGACCCGGCCTGTCCTAATTGAAGCGCAGGCTGAAGTGGTGGCGGTGGAGCTTGTTTTCGACGTGCATCATAATAAATGTTGTGTTCTGCCAATCGATAATTGGGAGTGTCCCCAGCATCCTCGCTCCCAAAACCAGGATGCGATTGGACGCTCCACTGCAGGTCCGTGACGAGTGGCCGTTGCCAAAGAGCTGTGTTTGCCACCGAGACTGTCCCATCGAGAAGGAGCCCACCGTGCCCAGAATCCTTGTGAGAGAAACCGTTCTTTCCGAAATACCAGACGAGAATCTGAATGGAAAGTGTGGCGTTGCGTTTGGTACCGCTGTGCTGGTGATGATGATGATGATGATGGTAGGGCACATGGAGGTTGACAGTGTCATACCACGTATCTCTGGGTGTTGGTCCCCGCTTCAATCCTCCTTCTCGCACCAGTAACAGTGTCTCATTGCCATTGTAAAACGTTGAATCTCTCCAGTGATGATCTTCTTCCGATGGAGAAGATGAATGGTGCCAGCATGCCCATAACCAATACTTGGAATCCACCGCGATTTTGGCCTGCAGTTGAACACTGACAGTTTGTGTTTGATTGTATACTGCTAGAGAAGGAATATGCATGTGACGTCGAAAGATCATCCATGAGTTGGGTTTGGAAGGTTGATCATCCCATATCCAAAAGGCATCCCGGCGAAAGCTGGCTGTTCTGTCATGGTTGGACGGCAGGAAACTGGAAGAGGATGCACACCCGCATCCAAGCGGAAGAAGCAGCGCCAAAAGCCACCACCGACAAGTCTTCATTGAAACGGATGGTGCATGATGAGTGGTGTCGATCATTGCCAGGGCTGGAACCATCATCCTTTAGATCATACGACTTTAGATCAAGACGCGTCGCTTCAGAAATGGATCCTCGTCAGAAGCCCTCAAAGCTGCTAAAGAAGGCGTGTTGTGCCTCAAGCGTTGAGGGGAAACTTTCAACCATTTTCAGGTTTTCGCGTTGCCTCATGCAGTGCGGTGGTGGCGGCTCAATGCTCAGCATAAAAACCGGTACGGTTCCCTTCATTACAGCTTGCAAAAGATACCATTCCAGAATCATCAACCAAAAAGATGGAAGGAGAAGCAAGTGCTCATTCAGAGAAGAAGGACAGCCCACCTCTTGCCCCGAGTGTCAAAGCACGACGTGACATAATCCCAATAGCCAACAACAATGATGGGACCAACAAAGTCAAACCTGACGGAAACACAAGAGCCAAGGAGAAGCCAACAGCAGAATGTATGACCACCAACATTGGCAGTGCCAGCATGAACAACACCGATACGGCTGCACCTTCATCCGTTGCAAATAGACTTGGCGACACACAACAACAAAGTGACCAGCAATTCTACTTGTTCCCAAAGGAGAAGCAGGAACAAATCAAATGCACTCTGGCTGCAACATCGTTTGCGGATATGACAGCCCAGCTTGACAGCACTCAACGAAGTGGTCAGCTTTCAGTCTTTGTTCCTACACACACGCAGCCAGACCTACCAATGACGGACAGAGACACAAACAATCCGCTGCGACAGGCCAATCCGGTACCATTGGAAGATCCACCAGATACTACGGAAATGATGTATACCCATCCCGTTGATCTGGAACCTGCCAAGCAAAGGCAAGGAAAAAGGAGGAGACAAAGGCATTGCTGCATTCTGGCCGCGATGGTCATGTCGGTTGTCTTAGTTATTGTCGTGGGAGCTCTGATTGGAAGTCAAGTGCAAAAAGAACCAGAAGTGATCATCTTGCCGCCAACAGAAAGTGCAACAGTTTATGGTCCTACGGAATCATTGGAAGGGCCCTCTGCTGCCCCAACTGGACTTCTTGACTTGCTGTTAGATACTGGCAGTCTGCCCATGCACACCTTGGCAAGCATCAACAGTGGCAGTGAAACTCCCCAGTGGAAGGCATGGCAATGGCTATCCAATCACCAAAACATTACTGCTCTTCCAAACTGGAGAAAATCACAACTGTTTGCTCTTGCTACATTCTTCTATGCATTTGAGGGAGAAAATTGGCCCCACTCAATACATGAACGATGGATGGACGAGACAAAGGAGGAGTGCGAATGGTTCTCCAGTGGATTTGGAGGTTTTGTTGAAGACGATTTTGTTGAATGGCAAGACTTGGGTTGGCCATCTACCAATCCTTGCAACAGACAGGGACAATTCACAAATCTTCATCTTGAAGATCTGCAGCTGTCTGGGCTTTCGCCATTTGTTCCAGCAGAGATCACCCTCTTGACCTCCTTGTTGGTTCTCAAATTGGATAGAAATGATATTGCTGTACCAATGCCAGCATTGCTGCCCTCTGAATTGTACACCATGACTTCACTGACTCTTTTGGAGTTGCATTCCAATCGGATCACAGGCCAAATCCCCTTTGGGCTTGGAGAGCTTTCTTCTTTAACTGAGTTGCTCTTGTCACTTAATCAGATCACTGGACCCATGCCCTCAGAGCTTGCGAAACTGACTGGTTTGAACATGTTGCGGGTGTCTGGCAATCTCCTGACTGGCCAAATACCTTCAGAGTTTGGGCAAATGACCTCTTTGACTTCCTTGGATTTGAACCAAAATCAGTTCTCAGGTCCCATTCCTTCGAGCCTTGGACAGATGACAGCCTTATCATCCTTGGCTTTGGATTCAAATCAGTTGTCGGGCTATATTCCTTCAGAGCTTGGACAGCTGACTGCTTTGACTGGCTTGTGGTTGTATGACAATCAATTGACTGGCAAAGTCCCTTCTGAGTTTGGGCAAGCGACTGCTTTGATTTGGTTGGATTTGCAAGAAAATCAGTGCACTGGCAAACTTGCCTCTGAGCTTGGACATTTGACTGGATTGACTGGATTTCATTTGGAGGAAAACCGGTTGACTGGCCAAATCCCTTCTAACCTTGGACAACTGTCGGCTCTGAGGTCCTTGTCATTGGGTGGAAATCAATTGACTGGCGAAGTTCCATCCGAGCTTGGACAGCTCACTGCTTTGTTGGAGTTGTGGTTGCATGAAAACCAGTTGCGAGGCGTCATCCCCAAGGAGCTCTGTTGGATGCAGGCACTGCATTTTGATTGTACCTCTATTTTGTGTGGATGTGATTGTTACTGTTCCAATTGATATTTGATGGGAGCAGCCATCCTTATGATTCCTATTGGAGCATCCCCACCCACAAATGAAACCATAGAGAGGAGCCAGGGCGTGGGTGATAAAGGGCTGGTTCCAAAATCCTCTTCATGAAGTACGGTGCAAATAATGATAGCTGAGTATTCAATGGCGTGTCTGCCTGAAGTAGCTCTTTTATATACTCCATTCCTATGGTTAAGAAATTATCTGGTCCAAGCACCAGAGCACGAAGCCTTGCCCCGAGTTCGTTGTATTCCCCTTAGCTTCGCTCACTTCTAGTTGCACAATTGAGAGATGGTGGCATGTGTTCCTCCATTGCGGAAACTAGCACCTCTTAAAAGGTACCGGTACAGGAATGGATCCTTCCCCTTCAAAGCAAGAGTCGAGTCCATAGCCTTGTGCGAGTTCCTTCACGTGGCTACGGTTGGGTGTCCCTACTTCAAGAGTTAGTTCTATCCGTGTGTGGCAGCGAAGTCCCCCAAGTAGCTAGCTCACTCACACGTTGCTGGTCGTCCCACTGGACTGGACCGCAAGGGCCCGGACCTGCCTTTGTTCTTGCTGCATCTCACAAATTGGAGTATCATGTTTTACACGCGTAACGCGGAACATCTTCGAGGTCTGCTTGGATGACGGACAAGGAAATTAGACGACTGAAAGCTCTTCACGACTGCCAGGCGTGTAAGATTCCGAGAAGGATTTATTGGGTGTGTCGGATTGGTGGCATAAATTGGGCTCGAAAAATTGACTGGAACGTCTTCTCTTCAGATCCAGGACGAACCAAAGAAGTGAAAGGCAGGTTCGCTGGTTGGGGCAAACAGTTACTGGTACCACTGGTGTAGCAAGATAATAGCCACCCTCACTTTTGCAAAGACCAAGCGAAGTTTTTGCTGCACGGAAGAAGATGAAGTTGTTTTTGCAATATGGATTGATGCTACTGCTCTCGCTGCAACATGTAGCGGCAGGAGCAGAAGCTCAAACCTGTTCGGCCACCGATGGCGCTGTTTGCGCAGACGATGAAGCCATGCTTCGCCCCAACATGATGGACGAGGTTTCCTCTCCCGATTCCAAGCGCGCCTTGAACAAGTTGATCTTTACTCGCATTGCCAAGGAATATGATTTCATGACCGCGGCGCTCTCCTTTGGATTGGATGGAAGTTGGAAACGTCAAATGCTGGCCAAAATATCGGAGTTTTTGGCAGACTCGGAGCCACCTACGCTTTGCGTCGACTTGGCCTGTGGAACGGGTGAAATTTCCCTACTCGTTTCCAAAACATTTCCCGGCGCAAAAGTCAGGGGTATCGATCTGACTCCAGGAATGATTGAAATCGCCAAGGAACACGAAAAAACAAACCCCAATGTCAAATTTGAAGTGGGTGATATGACCAACTTGACTTTCAATGGCATTGAGGACAATTCCGTCGATGTGATTACCGGAGGATACGCCATTCGCAATGCTCCCGATTTGCGTGTGGCGCTCAAGGAAATTCATCGCATGTTGAAGCCGGGTGGCATTGCTGCCTTTTTGGATTTTTCCCGTTCGTCGAAACCAATTCTTTCCACAATGGGATACTGGGCCCTCAAGGTTCACGGTAGTTTCTGGGGCTTGGTGATGCACGGAAAACCTTGGGTTTACGGATACATTGCTGATAGTTTGAAGAAATACCCAGACCGAGCTTCCTTGGCCGTCGTCATGGAAGAGGAGGGCCTCGCCGTCACCCACAGGCAACTTCACATGTTTGGTTTGCTCGAGACTGTCCACCTCAAGAAAAAGGTGTAAATTCGTTTTCTGAGCTGTTGGAATTTTGTAGAAGCAGCAAACGATGGACACACAAGGGCGATAGAATGCGTTGACGGACTACACACAAAAAAAGGGTAGGTATTCATAGAACCGCCAATGATCAGAAAGAAAAAAGCAAGTTGGAAAATCAGAAGGTTCATTTTCTCAAGAAATCGACCAACTATTCATTGTTCTCGTTTGGGATTGCTGCGGTAGAAGAGGCACGTTGGAATAATAGCTAGTAAAAGGTTTTCTCTTTTGGAACCCCCGCTAGCAGAAAAATGACTGACGACTCGACTCGACGGGTTCGTACTCGGCATTGCCACAAGATGAAGAGCGTGCTTTCAAATCCCGTTCTTAAAAACTAAACAAGAAACAGATATCTAAGGTTTTGTTCAAAAGAACGCTAAATAAAACATAAACTTATGAAGTGCATGGACGGCAAAAGAACACCACGTTCCTTCCTTGCCGTACCCTTTCAGGCCAAGGAAGACTCAACAGGATGCCCCGTGGCTTTGCGCTTTCGCGTGCCTTGGACGTTCCTGGCCCTTGTTGCCCTGCTGGAGTTTTTGATTGTTGATGGCTTTCGTTCGTTGACCAACCATGTCGCAGGTTGTTGACGGAGCAGCCCATATTGCAAAATTGTAACGAGATCCCACCTGGCCAGAACAGTAAAATCAAGGAAATGAATCCTCTCCCAAATCTTCTCAGCTGATATCATTCGAACGAAGTTTTTGAGTTGCGTGCCTTCTGCTTTGGCCCTTCCCCGGCCACAGACATTCAACAGCGTGTGGTAGTCAATCACTCGCTGCTTATTGTTGCCTTTGGTCCTATCCAGGAAACATTGTTTGTTGGTTTGTTTGGTCATTGATTCGTCACCGTCTTCAAATATATTATTGGTTGTTAAATTGTCCTCACAGATCAAAGCCGCCTTCAGGTGTGTGTTGTGATCAAGAATCCTGAGCATTTTGTCATGGTAGATTTCAACTTCTGCTTGGTTCTTCAAATCCTGCAGCCTCAGCTCAGTCAGAGTTTCACTCCTGTCTGCCGCATCCAGCAGTGGCAAGAAGAGCCCTGCTTCCGTTGTTGCACCAATCACCTCAAGCCGCTGAAGTCTCCCTTGCTTTAGCAAATCACAAAGGGATTTACAAAGCTCCTTAGTCGATTTCCATGGTTCGCTAACATATACGTCCAGACGAGTTAGATTCGCCATTTGAAACAGTAAGTTTTGGATGGACATGGTTGGCCCAAGCGCAATGCCATTGTAAGCAATAGAGAATCCTGTGATATGAGACCCCCCTCCAATGCGCTCCAGAATTTTCTTTGCCGGTCCAAGAATTTCTTCTACTGACCCATCTTCTTGAATCACATCTGCATCGATGTGAACCCTTTCAGCTGCATTGGTACTACGAAACAGCATGGCAAGCACCTTCGTAGCTTCTGCTTTTGTGAACTCAGAGCGTCGTAAAATAAATTCTTCCACATTTTCCACAATGGCGCGAATGGCTCTCATGCTGCGGGCATTGTCCAGAGATGTCCTCCTTTGCTGCTGGAACCAATCATCCAACGGCAACCAACAATCGCTCCGCAAACTAAAGGACTCGTGTTTTGGCAAGATTCCTATCATTGAATCCAGCAAATTATGAGGGAAAACGTGCGAAAAAAGGACAATTTTCAAAGGACAAAGGGGGCTAGAGACGTCCATGTTGATCAGCCCTTCCGGAAATGTTTGCACAAGCTCATTGAGACTCATCAATGATTCCGCCACTTTGCTGGGAGAGCTCGACTGCAGCAAAGGTATGGCTTCCAGGAACCTCTTTGCCACCATCTCGCAGATATCATTTCCATCGAGATCTTCGAGACCGTTTCCAACCAAAAACTTCAGGACTTCACCCGATGCTCCGTAGCGAAAGGCATCTTCAACAACAGCAGAATCCAATGCCAGCGGATCCTCGTAATAGACAGCTTGAACTGCTCGGAGCGAGCCTCGGGAAATAGCAAGCACATGTAGGTCCGACAGCTTCCGCAATTCAGAGGTCTTCCATGAATGCTTCATCTTTGGCGTAGGCGTACTTGAGATATACCGGTACCGGTACAGTAGGGCAACAACAGCGATGACAAGAGCGACGGGCTTTGGATCCGCAAGTTTTGGATCCAAGTTCGATTGAACCCTAACCCTTTGCTTATGATGAACTTTTCACCCCCCCATTTTTGCCAGGAAGAAAGGATCTCGCTGGAACAGCTCTGGAACGCAGGAACAGCTCCTGGAATGCTGGAATCATGATGACCGCGAGTGGACTTCCGGGATCCGTGTACTCGAGTACTCATTAGTTAGTTGTACTGTTGCGTCGCTTCAACTGTACATGGAAAACATACAGTGCCAGTTTCTGAAGAATCTTCCTCAAAATGACGATGCCTTTTAAGGCTCCAAGTTGTATGCTCTTAATTTTCCAGTTCTCCATTGTTTGAAAGAAGGGCCCTTTGCCCATTTCGAACTGGACCAGTGAGAAAAAATGTGATATTCTTGTCTCATCTATAAGATAATGAAAACGAGCTTGGTACCGGCACCGCTCACCCCAGATTAGCCGAGATTTTCTGCCGCTAGCTATTCTAGCTAGCTAGCTAGCCAAGACGTAGTCAATCTAGCTAGAGCCGAAATTCCTAAAAATGTGTGCTCGAGATGTGAATACTCAAACAACCGATTCTCACCTCATTTTGACAGCACATGTAGTAAAACTAATTTAGGAGCCAAATGGTGTCACAGATACACTTCGACATACCGGTACCGGTACCTTGTACCTTGGTGGCATGCCGACAACAAAATCCAGACTCTCCGCCAAACAGTAGAAAAAGTGGTTCTACCCATCCCTGAGATGACACAGTATGGGCCACATGGGGCTTGATGGTGGAATTTTGAATTTTGTGCCATTTGTGAGCAACAATTCTGCTGGGAGAACAGCACCCTCAACAGAGTCTTACTGAGAAACTTGATCTGAGCGTTCTAATATGATAAGTATCTTAGTACAGTCTGAAACTCTACTAGACTACTAGTAGACATCATTACCTGCATGTCCCTCTGCCTGTTTGTTGCGTGGTTTGTTGGCATTTCTATGATCTTATTACTGGGGACAGAATGTGTTCACTTACCCAGTCGTCCTTCGCTTGATCATCATCTATCTTCTTCCTTCAAGTCCCTTGAATGGCCTTTTTCGCGTTTGCGAATCTAAAAGTACTGTACCCATATCATACATGGTGTACGGTACCGTACAGTACTGTACCATGTACGGGTACCATAGTGGTCAAATAAATCTAACCTTTCAGCTCCCACCACCCACCACCTTTGCAAACCAAACCACCTCTCGATCGATAGCATAATCAACCGACCTGAAAGAAACAGTCGACCATGACGACGAGACGACGGTACCACCTCTCCCTCGACCTCTGGTTCCTATGGACTTGTGCCTTATCCTCAGTGACAGCAGCTCCCCCCACACCATGTGAAAAGGACTCTGACTGTCATGCGATGCAAGCCCCCGAATCGGTGTGTGGCAGCGACGGTTTTTGCAGCAACGCGTTTGCGAGTGGCTGCCTCTACCAACGAATGCCCGGCTGGACCAAGAAGCGAGTCTGTAACAGTGAAGATCCACCCGATGCGGCAGCACAAGGCATTTGTGAGACTCCCCAATTTGACTATCAAGAAGTACGAATCATGGCTGGCAACTGGGAATCCATCACCTTGAATGCGTGGTTAATGCAGATCTTGCTCTCGGAAATTCTAGGAGTCCCGACCACTCTGGAAGCTTCCATCTCGGCACGCAATAGCTTTTTCGAACCTTCCGGTGCCTTTGAATACGGGTCACTCGATACGGTTCAATCCTTTGAGAACAACTTCAAGTACAAGGGGTGCGAAAAAGCGAGTCGCGATCCCGACAACTACGAGACTTGTGCCAACTTGAGTCCGGAGTTTTGGATTGCCACGGGAGAGTGGGCCCAGGAAGCACAGCAGCGGGGATTGCTGGAGCCACCCGAAGCCTTGGGAGTTCTAGCAAGGGAGTCGCTGTAAGTGTTTCCTAGTTGCTTGCTTACTTGCTCAGGAAACAGCTGGAACCTAATCTCGTCATTCTAACACGCTCTCTTTTCACTTTTAAAAAAAAATCCTTGCTCAGATTTGTTCCCAAATTCACACTGGAACGAGATGCTAGCTTGCTCTCCTACATTGGAATGCAGGGGGAGAAAAATCGACAAAAGTTGGCAGATGCCTTCTTACGTCCAACCCTCTGGAAAGACTATTGCCTCGAAGTTTCACCCAACAACTGCAGTACGCCGGATGAGAATGCCCAGCGCCCTCCCGAAGACGACGACGAGGGAGACCGATTCTTTTTGAAGGACGAGTACACGGGCTATTTTCGCAAAACCGATGCCAACAATTGCACTTTGAATCCAGATACTTGCACTGGTAAGTAGAACGACACTTCAACTCTCAACAGGCTCTCAACAATCTGATTATCTGATCCTCAAAACCCTTTATCTGTCTTCCTCAGGTCATTTGGTGGATTATCCTTGCGAATGGAGCTCCTATGCCGAACAGCAATTGTATCACTTGAATATTTCCTTGTCGGGCGACAAACACGGAGAAGGCGAACGTGGGCATGGGGATTGGCAAACGGTACAAATTCTCAATGCCGCAAACCATACCAAGAGCAACGTCATTATCATGTGGGCGCAGCCCGATCCATTCTATCAACGATTAGTAGGCACTGACATGGAGTTGCATGCCGTCGTCATGCCTCCCGTTTCACAGGAATGCCTCGATCACAAACGTGGCTACAATGATCAGTGTTCCGGTGATATGGAAATTCGCGCGGGAGATCCAAGAGGTGCCTGTGAGGATCCAATGACATTGTTGCACAAGGTATTCGCGACAACACTCACCGATGAACTCAATGATCCTGATATTATACCAGCGGAAAAGAGTCCCGCTGTCCCTGCAATTCAACAATTCTCAATGTCCTCGCCTCTGTACGGTGATTGGTTCAATGTACTCATCCAACACGAAGCACTCAGCAAGGAGACTACCTCTCTGATGCGAAATGCAACCTGCAACTTTGTCGTGGACAAATTTGACGTTCTCCTGGAAAAGTGGATACCGTTTTCATACCCACGAGTCGTTATGGATGGCCAAGAGAATTCGGCACTCATTATTGCCTCGGTGGTATTGGCGTGCCTGTCGACGGTGCTTGCTGTGGCTGCCGCGATAGTGGTACACAAAACGCAACATCGACGGGTCATGCGGTACGCGCAGATTGAATTCCTACATTTGATGCTGGCAGGAATACTGGTGATATCCTCTGGGGCGCTAGTCACGGCAATCCCACCCACCATGGGTTCTTGTGTGGCGGCAATTTGGCTTGTCAACGTTGGATACACAATGGAATTGGCACCCTTGTTGGTCAAGGTAGCAGCCATCAATCGACTCATGAATGCATCGGACAGGATGCAAAAGATCAACATCGAACGCAAGGATCTCTTCCAAGTCGTTTTCCT